TTTGAATTAACGCGGCCTTCGACAACAGCACGGTAATCAAACGCGCGGTAAAGAAGGCCTGGACACGCGACTAAAATGCAATGCATCCAAAAATAATGTCGTGATTGGCTAAGCTTCGATGAGACCATTTTCGGTTGATTATAGAGCACTTAAAAATTAACAAAAATTACTGCCACAACAGAAATCATATTTTTCAAGTTCCTTGTCTCTCTACTAGAGAGATAAACCCGTAACCTTGTCGATGGACTCTGCAATCAGCAAGGGAGTATCTGGCCGCATCTTCCGCACTTCGGTGATGATCCCCGTGACTTCTGCGATCCCCTCCCCCTTTCTACCTAGCGTACTAACCCCATGCTGAGCGACAGTTTTTTTTTCTCCTAAAAAATCGAATCATAATTCTCTGGCGAAGGTCTTCGCGGTCTTCCCTATTTGACCTTATGCAGACTGCGGCAATTCCGTCAGCGATCGCACCTACCGCACCTTGTGCGACCACAGTTCCTTGGTTCGACCCGAAATGGACTGCCGAGATCGTGGCGAACACTTTTGTTTTCGCTAATTTGTCTGTGGACTCTGCAATCAGCAAAATATTATCTGTCTGCACCTTCCATACTTCGGTGACGATCTCCGTGACCTGTACGATTCTCTCCCCATTTAGATCTAGCGCACCACCCTCTCATGAGCGAGAGCATTTTCTCCTAAGATAGTCAAAATAATTTTTCACTTTCCTTTGTTCCACTTCATTGGTTCATGCCATTTGGCATCGCCAATAAGCTAAGCTACTAGTCTTTGAGACCACAGCACGCATTTACATAAATAGGGAGTTCAAAGATACACCCGCACATTTCCCTTAAATAAACTGAACCGAACGGCTTTATAAATTGTTGTCACCAGGTTTACAGAACAGATAATACTGCGTATCAAAAATATGAATGGATTCGCGTCCAGGCGCACCGATTGTCACGGTCAATAAAATAGAATTGGGAATACCATATGTGCACAGTGGAACATTTAACGATCCGCAGAGTACGGCGGAGGATTCAAAAGAATAGACAGAAATTCCATTCGCTGGGGAGTGATGAATGCAGGTCAGCTAGCTATTACCGTGGAGGTAGTCAACAGTGAAGGACGGTGGAAAAGATTTAAAGTAGGCATGCATGTAAAACGGTGAACAGAGATTTGATGAGGATAAAGTGCCTAAGTAAATAAAGTCGGAAAAATTAAAGCTGCTAACCGTGAAAGGCAACTGTCAGGTTTTCAGCCTATCACTCTAGTCGCATTGTATAAAAGGTGTGTAAATTAATTGAATAAATAGGACTAATGAACGGTCTATTGGCCAAAAAGAGGCTATTTTAAAGAAAACAATCCGTTTTATGTGTCGTTTAAAAATTCTCATGTTCACTGAAAAAGAAGATATTCTCTCCCCCGAAGGCACTTCCTCAACTCTTTCGCTATCGCTGCGATCTGTGCATCCACTTTTTACTTTTTTCCGGCTTCTCCACGCTGCTGAATTCATTCAAATGCCGTCGT